GCGAAAAATAAATAAAAATATGCATCTTGTTCCCTGCGGTGAGAGCTTCACTCTCCATATTTTTCCATATTTTTACAGTCCGTATTGATAAGTGTACTAACAATAAACCTTCATAATCATCCAATTACAACCTGTAACAAGCACTGAAATTTGGCTCATTAGTGTTTAGAGAAACTTTTGATTTCTGAAAACACCTATAACTTTGTCAAATCTGCCTCAAAACACTCGATTTTAAGTGCATTAGAAAGCTGAACTCTTCTTCTCAAACTCTCATAAGGTCAAGAACTATGTAGCTAGTATGACAATCATTCTATGGATCTGTATGTACAAATGTATAAAAAAGATGATATCTTTTTTAGCAGACCAGCATGCTGTGTGGTCCTATTATAAACTATTTGGAGGACAATTCCAGCTTACCAATGCACCCAAAATAGAGCGTTTTGGACCGGAATTGAAAAAGTTATGAGTATTTTCAGAAATCAAAAGTTTCTCTAAACACTAATGAGCCAAATTTCAGTGCTTGTTACAGGTTGTAATTGGATGATTGTGAAGGTTTATTGTTAGTACACTTATCAATATGGACTGTAAAAATACGGAAAAATATGCAAAGTGAAGTTCTCAACGCAGGGAACAAGATGCATATTTTTATGCATTTTTTGCTCTCCTCCTGGCCTCTCAATATTTTTGTGTATCAATAATTTAATTTTCTGCCCAGAATATTTTATCTTTCTTGTAGTGTAACTGAGCAGAACTGTATGTACAAGATAACCACCAATTCACTGAGCCTGCTACACATATGTAGTGTGGGTTTATGGCTCAGGTGTGGAGTGATAGATCATTTTATGACAAATGATACTCCCAATCATTTTTTCCTGCCCACTTGGGGAAGTTGATTAATGTTTGCAGTGTAGAATAGTTGGGGATTGTGATAGTTATAGTCTAAACACCAAAATAATGAGCCAACCTTCCTACCTTCTTACATATATATTAAAAGTGCAAACAGCATGCATTGTGCTATGTAGCCCTGATTTAACATTGTATCAGAAGTGCTAAATATGGAATATTTTGTGTGACACATGTGAGGCTGTGACCTGGCCATGAGAGTTCAGGGTTGGTCACAGGGCCAGATCTGGACTTGGGTGGACTCAATGGAATCCAAAAATCACTCAGGGCCAACCAGGGCACACCTTGAATGTTTTACAGGTGAAAGAATGTGGTAAAGATGCCATGATTTTGACCTATATTGCCATTATATGTGTATCAGAATTTATTTAGAGGATATAAGAGCATACTTGAACATCAACAAGACTTCTAATGAGCCTATGTTGAAAGAAAATTCTTGTTTTTTAAATCAAGCAAAGAAACAATGGGCATTCAGGCAGTCAGGGCCGCAAATGTGCTTGCAGGGCATTTGTGCCTATGTTTCAGTGTGCCAGGGCACAGACTGTCAGCTTCAAAGATATTTCTTGGCATAGTGGGCCAGGAAGGGCCAGGTCCCGGTCACTGCTCTAGATGCAAGTGTTTCAATTCCGACACAGCTACATCATATGAAATTGAATTGTCATCATATTTAAGGGGGGAATGCATAACGCTGGCAGTTATGTAAAAGAGAAGATTCCCTCCATTTTGGCTCAGCCAAAGCTAGCTACTAAGAAATGTACAAGCAAATTACACAAGTACTGTTTTCCTTGGTACAGTGGCTCATGCAAGTAGTTGTCCTGTTTCTTGATTAGCCCATTGAATATGATATTGTTGCATGGAACTTAAACTCCCTGTCTTTGTTGCCTTCCAATTGCTTGAAAATTTTCTCTCCAAGTTCCTATTATGTTCGCTACCTTCTTGGCTTATTGCTTTTGATTTTTCTGGTGTGTTTGATAAGTTGCCTCAAAAAACCCATCTTTAAACTATTCACAATCTTTACTTGATTGATACTGGTCCTGTTTTGCTATCAATCCCTTGTTCCAAACTTTCTTGATAGTCCCTCTACCTAACCCTCTCTTTAATTGAAACTATAGTATTCATTATTTGACTTTGTCAATGAGGCCCCCTTGGAGATCTTCCCACCATTTCCCAATCACCTGTTTGTATATTTGTCCAACATCCAGATGATCAAGGTAGCTAAAATTTTTTGATCAATTATCTTTGGATACTTTAAAATTGAATTTTTCTGACTCCACAGTTGCACCCCTGATGGTAGGCCAATCAAGCCTGTGTATGCAGATTTCTTCATTGATTGGTTTTGTATAAGAGGACCCGCTTTTGAGTTTTTTTTCTGCATCAAGATAATGAAGAGAGCTGAACAAGAAAGTAGGTTGATTGTGTTCAACTTCAAGACATGCTGTTGTGGGAATGCCCAAATGGTGTGCGTGTTGTTGAAGATGTTGTGTCATACAACATGCATGTTACTCTGTAGCACATCAACAATGAACATGCACACAGCAACCATGTCTTGTAGAAAATTGATCATTGACCCTTTGAAGAGGTCTTTAGAATACAGACAAATCTACTTTTACAACAGTGCAATGTTGATCAGACATAGGATGTCTGAGCTCATTTGGTCAGAGTCATTTTAACACTTTTTCTGACAATGGGCATGTCAAACGGACACAGCTTGATTTGGATTGTTTTTATGAGACACCTCACTTTGACCTGCCAAATTTGAAACATACAATCCAATCCAGTAAGACCCACCTGAAGTGATTGTCTTGTGAATACTTCATGATTTGTCACAAATGGTGAAGATTAAATGAACACTCTCAGTGTGTTTGGAATATGGAAAGGTACTTGAGAAATGCTGGTTAAAGTTGCCCGCCTTCACACCTAGTTAACTGAAAAATAAGTGTCTTGGATCTATTAGAGACCTGTGATAGGTATCATAACAGTACCTTCCTTGCACAGCTTTGATTTCCAAGACCAGATTGCACTACTTTTATAACAAGTATGGGTGCTTTCACATTGCTCAATTTAGCTGCTATATATCCTGACTCTGAAATTGATCTTAAAAAACTTGATGATTTGTTTGATCTGCCATAATCAAATGACATTGGGGTTGTTGGACAAATCTCATGATCACACATGGTTTGCGCTTGTGAGAGAGGCCAGAGTTGGCCCTGCTTGTCAGGTGTAGGACCAGATGGATATGATTTTGGATAACTTGTTGTATGTCAGTAAAAACCTTGTGAAGGTTGCAAGTCAATGTGTAAATTTCTTGGTAGCACATCAACGTGCACACACAAAAAGAAAGTCATAGAGGAATGATAGGAGTTTTAAACAGGTCTTTGGACCCAAAGACTTTCCCTTTGAACAGATCTTTGAATCCAAAGACTATCCCTTTGTCCAGGTGCTCAAAAAGCAAGCCCTTTTTGAGACAAATATGCAGGTCTGAGCTGCTTTGCGCACACTTAGTTCAACAAAACATTATTCTTTTTTTTCAAATCTTGTCTTGTGTGCACATTGACGTGCTGAGGTATTTTACACAGTGAGTGATTGGTAAATCACTTCAGTTGGCTTTGAAAGTAAGGCATAGACCAAAATATTCAGGGCTTTCAAAGACATATATCACCACTACCCCTTTCTTCCAGTGAGTCAATGGGCCGGCTTTTGAAAAAAGGAAAGTAGTAGGATCATTGCACCGCAAAACTAGTGTGCAAAGAAATCATCAACAAACACATTGTCACACAATTTTTGTTCAAGATGTAATGAATTGCAAGCAACAAGATATGAAAATAGTCAATCTAGATTTGGTAATACAGTATTTCTATCTGAATGACATAGACATATGATAGCTTAATATCTTCAAGCTATCATCTCCTTACAAAAAAATACTTGCAAAGAGTCATTAAAATGGGGAAGTGATGATTTAATGGCGGCAAAGATGAAGATTGAAGAAAGGTCACGTAGCACCTTTCTTGCCAGATATAACCGCCTGAAAGAAGACCTTGCCTTGCTGGTTTTTTATCCACAAGCTTGCTGAGAACTTCACCGAAGCCAAAAAATGAACAAAATCAAAATTTGTTCATTCTTTTTGTACCTCTTTGTGTGTGTGCAAGGAAATTTGCCACACCAAAACATGCATGGTAATAAGTGCCTATCCCCAAAGGCTCATGTTTAAGTGCCCTTATCTGGAATGTGTCAAGGCGAGAGAGAAATGACAAGGTGAGCTCTTTTTTGTCACTTACATGAAATGGTTGATAACTTGTAAGGAAAGTTGACCCTACATTTTTTTTGGTCAAAACATGGTTTCCTTCACAAGATTGATATCCAAACACGTGTAAAGAGAGATAAGAAAGTCCAATTCAACACAAGAAATCATCAATTTCCTCCACTGTGGAGCTTCAAGGATCTTGCTTACTTATCCGATTGGGCCCGTGTGCTGTCATACATACCAGACTTGTCGAAGAGATTTGTATATGAAAAGCAGACTCTCGGCCATCAAAATTTCATCAATTGTGCGGGGTTGAAGATGTCCCGTCAAGTACTTATCCCGAAAGGGCAGCGTGCCGTTATCTGGCACGTGTCCAAGCAGAGATGAACGTGAGCTGAGATCTTGTTTGTGACTCGCAGCCTGCAGGAAACTGGCTGATAACGTGTAAGGCAAGTTAACCCTACAATTTTTTTTTGCAAAAGATGGTTTTTTGCGCGGTCTTGTTCAAGGACAAATCAGCAAGCTTGAATATCCGTATAAATGAGACATGCACCGTAGCTTTTTTTGGAAGTCGCAGTCTGAAGGGATTCAGCGTAGGTACGCGCAACTTATCATCTCAAAACGTTGATGGATTGTTGAATGCACCGGTTGATCAAGTCTGAAGCATAGCTTCGACTCCTAATGCTTCTTCCCAGTATGAGGTTGAATGGTGAGCCACTTTGATCGCGAATATAAAAAGAAGACGTCCATTGGCTCATTATTGTCAGTCCTCATCTGATCCTCATCTGTGATCATTCCTTGTATATATTCTTTGGCAGCTACAAAAGATCTCATCATTACCTAGGCTAGGACAATCATGACCAGAATTTTGGGGCTATCAACTACAATCTTTGCTATTGTTTTCTTGGCATGTCCTTTTTTGACTTGGGCGCTCGACTGGGTCGACTACAACTTCGTGAAAGGTGAAGATTTAGGAATCGTTGCGCGTGAGCCGCTATTGCAATGAATGAACGATCGTGCTCCATACTCATAGCTCGACTACCTTTTCTTTTAGCATGGAGGCAAGACGAGATCGAAGCCTCGTTGATACAGTTTTTTACAAGCTTCGAACACGGCAAAAGAGAGGATGTACTCAGCCAGTTACATCCGAATGCCAAGATGTTCGTTCTGGAAAGCGATCTCGTGGGACAGGGTAACTCAAGTTCCAGTTGCAGTGTAAAATTATGGCGTAGAGTTTTCTGACGTCAACTTCGTAATCTTTGGCCATAATCTTCAGCTCAAATTGGCAAATTTATGAACAAACACCTAGATAAGGGATATACCTACCAAACCGTAATCAATAAATGTATGCTCCAGAGTTTCATTTGTGCCTTGGATCATCTACAATGCAGAAGCTACTTGCAGCGATTCTGACTTTTGTACCCACCTTCCTCATGCAAATACCTAAAATACAAAATACAACAAATTTTAGTGACGTGGCATCACTCCTGGGCAACCGAAGCTGAGGTTGAAATTGAAGGTCACATGAATTGCTACTGGGAGGAGGAGCAAGTGCGCAACATTCCCCTCCACCTGATAGTAACTCTTGCGAGAAATGAAGGCGCAATAAAGATCCGCAAATTGTTGGAAACAGACAGTAGGCTTGTGTTTGAGGATTCAGAAAGCGATTAGCGTATGTCGCGCCATTTGTAGTTTGACTTCCACTTATGTGTTTCATTTCTTATGGTCAAATATTTTGTTATGCCTTGCGGAGCAACTCGATTGTCGCAAAAAATACCTCAATTCCTGGTTTACTTAGTTCACAATCAAATCATTGCAATACATTACAAGGGCTATTGCTGTTCATCCCTCTAAAATCTCTCCCAAGTAATGAAATTCATGCAAATTTCAACCTCAGATTGATCCCAAAGCCCCATATCAATTAACTGAACTGATAGATAATTCACAATCTTCTCCACCAAATCCTAATAAATTTCCGTCTGAATTCCAACCAACACTTAAGATTTTCTTCTTCAATTTCTGTTCTCCACCCACATTAGGTTTTTGGATGGTATATAATGATTCTTTTATTGATCTTGTATCCCAAATTTTACAAGTTCCATCAAATGAACCTGATAAGATTTGTAATGAATGTGTATTTGAAGGATTTGATGAAATTGATGAAACTGGTGCTTGATGTCCGTAAAGAGTGAGTGAGACATTTTGAGATTCTTTCAGGTGTCATAACGTTTTTTTATTAGTTCGGTGCGCAAACCAAGATTAAAATAGCGAATAATTCGAAAAAAAGATCTCGTACCTTCTCTCACATCCCAGAAACATACTGTCCTGTCCATCCCTCCTGTGACTAACAAACCCTCACGTCCTTTACATTCATCGATATCCAACAAACATTTTTCAGGTCCTGCAACTTTACACCAGTCCTCAACACCCGTTTCGAGATCAAGTCGTTTAACAGAGTGATCGTGCGAGGCACTAAAAGCCTTATTATGATCGAAATGTGAGAAGAGCGCTCTTGCAACCTTAGCTTGATGAACGTTGATAACCTGGATGGGCTGCTTTGCGATCATCCGGGTATTAGTACCATCACGTTTCTTACGCTTCTTGCTAATCCGTGTTTCTTCACCAGCAGCAGCCCGTTCTAGTTCTTCTTGATCAAAGTCGACCACTTTATCATGCTCTTGACTTCCTAAGTCCCATAAGCCGATGATTCCATCCCAATCACCTGTGATTAAGCGACCAGCTTGAGTAGCATGAGAGCTAGCCTTGATTGTCGAGACAGGGGATTTGTGCAGGGCAAGGACATGAGTCGTAGTGGCTGTCTGTGAACCTTCTAGATCGAGTATCTGATCATCATGCGCTGGGTTCGAATCTAGCCTCCAAACTCGGATGACTCGGTCCATCCCACCACTCGCTAGATAATCCGACTTTTGGTTCTGGCCCGCCTGGTGGTAATTAGGGATCCAAGTGGTAGATAAAATTGGCTGATCGTGACCAGGGATGGTGAGGAAGGGTTTGGAAGAATCATTCGAAGAGAACAGTCGTAGGTTGGCATCATAACATGCGGTCAAGAATGTACTAACAAATCATAGTTCATCAGTATTTCCTCTCAATCGAATTGATATAATGTAAGAACATGATAAAAGTCACTCACCCTGTCCGAGAGACATCAAGGTGAGAAATCCAATCATCATGTTGAAAACTATTGACATATTTTGGCGGTAAGACACTCTCTAGGTATTCGATTTCCAAGATACTTTCAGTTGAGAGTCCACGAGAATCAATAAAGGTCTTAACAGATGTCCGTAGCAATTGGTCCTCGATTACAAAATCGAATGGAATAGGCTGAGCTATGCAAAACAGACATAATTAGAAACAAATCTCAGTACTTCATGGTGGTAGCTTTGAAGAGAAACTGATTGATACAGACAGTGCTCTAAAACTTTATTGATAAGTTCACTAAGTTGAAATCGTTTCCAATCTGATGGTACCATGTATTTTGCATTCGGAATTGCATATTGTTTTGATTTAGTGACTAATCGGACTGGGATCATCGTTGGAGCTGATGAGGTATCATTGGTTTGGACAACATCGTTTGAAGCTGAAGTTGAAGCTTGGTTCGTCTCAGTAGTGGTAGCCATGTTTGTGAAAAGAACCGGAATGCAATTCTTGAAGTTGGTTGAGGCAAATCGTAAATTTCCAACACTCGCTCCAATCATCTGGTCAACATGTGGGTCAAGCTGTGACAGGTATGGAAAGCACCGAGCCCGACAGCACTGTATAGCCCGCGGGTCTGACCCATCCTCACACACTCTCAGACCCGGTGCTCAAAAAGCTCTTCCAGAGTCTAGACTGCCAGTCCTCCCAGCTCCTCCCTCTTCTTGCCCACCACCAAGACCAGTTATGTTTTGTGAAGTGTCTTTCTACGCACTCAATTCTTTGTCCCACAACCAGTTCTTCCACAGCATGGCCCGTATTGCCTCCTCAACCTTTACTGTCTTACCCTAAAAGTCAGTGAAGTATGCAAATGGGGCTTTGGCCTTTGGCACAACGCAAGGGAATTTGTTAAGTTTGTGAAGTATGTCCACTTTTCCATTGTTGTGGAATTAGTCCGACTCCTACGGGCTTGGTAAATATGGACATCACTACAAAGGTGCTCACACTGCTTTTGAATGCTATACGTCTACTTAACGGACAAATACCTTTACGGATCCCATAAGCCTACCAAAGGGACTTGCGTAGTGAGATTCAGATGTGATGTGGAGCCTTTTTGTTGACAGAAATAGGGATTGGGGGTATTTGGGTAAAAAGAACTTACCTTGAAAACTTTTTAACAGAATAAATTTTGCTTTACCTGGAAGAAGATATCAATCACTTTCTACAGATGATTCCTTCTTCAACCAATCTTGAACCATCTCTTCTCTCGAGATATACATACGGCCTTGTTGAAAAGCCCATCATTGCTTGAAAACTGTCGTTGGTCTCAATCATTTCTTATTACAATTTATCATGGTTACATTTCACCAATACAAGCTTTCAACTCTATCAAAATACTTACCAGAGTTGCTTCAGGGAGCTCGGTTTCAAAGGCTTTAAGATTATGGTATCAATCAAATATAAATTTTATAGACTCAAATGATACATATCAGTCTATGATTTGTGGTTGGTGAACTGAGGTTCTGGGCTGTTCTGGGATTAATACTAACAGCCGAATTTACCATCAAGCGACCAGAGCTCTAGCGTAACACAAGGCCCTACTACTATTACCCTTTTATAGAAGTTAGACCAGAGCTTTTTTTTAATGTGCTTTTGATTTCACATATCGCATAACCAACTTTGTATGTCTAGACCATTTGAAGTCGAACTCCTTCACGTGAAAGAAAGAATCCAGTTTTGATTTCTAGAACTCTCGATGACGTCAGGTAAATGATGATGACGTCACGGTCAATTGACCATTAATAAAACTCACTTCAGCACTTCATACTCAACTTCTCTTCAAACCTCAACTCATCACACTAGCAACCCAAAAACCTTTTCAGAGTCAATCAAACAAGTAAGTAAGTAACTATCCTACCGCTTCCAAAGCTCTTACTCCATCTCTTACCTTGAATGCAACTTGATGGTAGAAACCTTCATCATGCAAACCACTTTTGAAGATCATAAACATTCTGCTTCTCAACACCACAAAGGTGAAGACCATAACATTACAAAAAAAGAATCAGAAAGATTATCAAAGAATGAAGAAAGACGTGAATTAGGTCAACCAACTGAAGGTGGATCTGCTGGTAGAGCTCAAGTGGCTAGTAAAGATCCTCAAGGTAAATCATTCAATCATTTTGGTATGATTTTTGATTGGGTTTTTGGTTTTCTGATATATGTTTATATCCCCTCTTTTGTTTCTGCTTTTTGTGCCTCAAGACTTTGACACCAAACGTGGTGGACAGGGTGATCATCTACCTAACACGAACCCTATCATTTAAGGTGATGACCAGATTGCAGAAGCTTTTCATTCCATCAGACTATGTATAGTCTTTAAAGCCCCATTTGTTCATTTTGTAAAAATCCTGCACGCTATCTCATATTGTACAATCTGAATATATATCATTTTACATTATAGAGCAAATTGTCTGAGCAGTCAACTCATAGGTACGTGTGATCATATGAAAAAAAGGTACAAGTCACATAAGTAGGTAAAACTTTGTTATGAAGATGTTTGAACGCATATAAAACTAGTAGCACATCCTGCAAAGATATTTACAAGTTTTTGATCCTTTGAAGCTCTCCAAATCACATTATGTGGCTTGATAAGTTCCAAATCATTGGTCAATGATGATAAACCTAGATTACCATGTTCATTCCATCCCCATCCATAAATAAGATCAGATCGAGCCGAAACCATCGCATGTTCAGAGCCGACTGCTAGTTTTATCGAGCTCGGTGATCCATTTAATTGGGTTTCTGAAAGTAAGATGTTTGGATCAAGAGACCCAAGTTGAGCTTGAGAGTTATTACCAAACCCTAAGAGTAAACATGAAGATGGCGGCTCGTTTCCTATTGCAGGTTGTTTTAAAAAGAAAGTGGTATTCCAACAACACTGGACGTCAAGTATGTGATCTTCTGATTCAAATTCTGGGATTTGGTTTTGTGAATATTTGTGATTACCAAGTGAGTAGATATGACCCGGGCAAGCGATCACCGTGTGTTCTTTACCAACGCCGATCTTGATTGAATCCGTATCTCGAGGTAGTTCAAATGAAAGATTGATACGCGTAGGTGGTAGTGTCTTAAAAGGTTTCTCTCTCGTCTCCGAGCTGCCCAATTGACCGTGCCGAGCTGCACCCCAACCAATTATCTCTACAGAGGTTGTATTTGAATCGAACGAGCGTATCGAGACAACCGCAATGACGTGCTTAGGTCCGCCGACTAGATTTGAGATCCTGAACGCGGATCGAGGAGGGATATTGAATTCGACAATGCTGGGATCTTCTAACCTAGTGACAGAGCCATTTTGAGTTCCTCTTAAACCGAAATCATTCGAACCGAATGAGACGAGTACGCTTGAATCATTTTCAGAACAACGATCTTTGATAGGATCAAGATTGACAAAACTAGTCTCCCAACTTGACCCAACAATTGTAGGCTGATAAGAAGAAAGAAGTTTTTCCCTAAGTTCAGGATCGATTGATTGAATTGATAAGATCAAGTTTTGATAGTCAATCTCTGTCAACCGCGTTTCAGTTGTCCTATCAGAATTAATTGGAAGTTGAAAATTAGTTCTATCCCCTGATCCAAGTATTTTTGGAAACCCATCAAGTTGATTTCTGATTAAGAAAATTGAATGACGAGCTCCTGCTGCAAAACTAAGGATTTCAGTTGAAGTTGACCATCGTTCGATTGAAGTAAATTCTTGTAAGTCTTCTGTATGTCCTGTGCCAAGTTGTCCATGTGAATTTGAGCCTGATGAGAATAATTCAATGTAATCTGATGTTACCTCGTTGAGCATTCATACGGTTTTTTCAATCGAAAAGATGAAAGCTTGAGGACGTTGTTGGGAATCGTTTTCGTTCTAATCCAAAAAGTCTTGATCAGGAATTGCAATGTCCCATAGATCCCGAAGGGGCGGTACTTGGGCCCATATCGGAGCCGGACTCATGATTACTACTACGCTCCCGCGATAGTAGATTGCGGCTGTTGATGATGCTTATAGCTGTGCTGAGCTTGCTCACTGCTGGACGTTCTTGCATTTTAAATATCGTCATCTCCACTCCAGAACAGAACATAACAAAACTCAGCAAACCAACACAATACCAACCCACATTCATCTCATCCGTTCAACCTTTTCAAAAAATGGTTGGTTGAAATCACTGATCTGTATCAAAACATAATGACCTAACTTGATGATGAACACCAAACTGAGTTATCATCAATTTGTGGATCTTTTAGGACTCAGATCAAACCTTTCATGCAAAGACATTGTTCTATCAAGGTGAGATATCATTCATATGACATAGTGCAAGCAAAATAGCGTAGTACCGGTTTCTGACGCTTCAATGCTTGGTCTTGCAGGTTCATATGCAGCTTGTCATGCGGCGATCGGTCAAATCGAAGAACCATCATTCCAATTGATCTTATTCTCAGCTCGATCATTGATAGCATTAAAGAAACCAAAAGAAGCCATTGAAATCTTAAAACCATATCATGCTGATCACCCAGCAGCCAAAGCTGTAACCTTACTAGCCAAATATCATTCTAAACCAAATCATAATCAAACAGAAAAAGAAAGTATTGGAGAAGAAGCCGAAGGATTAGCTGATGAAATCTTAGATGAAGATCATGATGGAATAGATTCAATCTTAAGAGTTACAATCGCAACCGTTTTACATTTAATTGACAATACAAATTTAGCTATCTTTTTATTAAAACAAGGTGTACAATTAAAATCATTAGAATCAGTTAGTTTATTGATTTATCTTTATTTAACTTCTAAAGTTAAACGACCCGATTTAGCTAGAATGTTATACAAATCTGTTAAAGGTTGGGCAGACGATGCTATCTTATTACAAATGACTGAAGCTTGGATTGGTACGGTGACTGGTTCTGGTGCCAATACTAATGGAAAAGAATCGGGTGGTTATCAATCTGCTTTTTATGTGTTTGATGAAATTTCTAGTTCTACTGGTTCGGATTCGGTTTCTGTTAATGTGGCTGGTTTGAATGGGAAAGCTGTCACACAACTCGCTATGGGTCACGTTGAAGAAGCACAAGCCAATCTAAGTGAAGCTTTGAAAGCAGTGAGTATCTTTTCGTCATTCCATTATCTTTTCATCTCATTTTCGGATTTTGGCTTGATGACCAAAATGATAGGACAAACTTGCTCACCCAACATTTTTTTGACGAAAACAGAACCCGAAAGATGAGACCACACTGGCCAACTCAATAGTAGCTAGTGGACATGCCGATAGTGCGGTATCAACCGCTGGAGAACATCTCGAGTAAGTCATACTCACTCTCTGAGATTCTTACATTCCTTATCATAATCTGAACCGAAATTCTCACACTATCATTCTATTGGCGTTTGTGTTTTAGGCAATTAAGGTCGATTAATCCTTCACATCCATTGGTTGTGGATCTTGATCGACAATTGGCTCTTTTTGATGAAGCTGCCAGTAAATTTGTTGCTTCTAAAGCTTAACTTGATTGATGGACTGAAATTTGGAGATTGGAAATGTATTAGTTTTGAATAAGAAGATTTGAGAGTAGGTATGGGGATTGAAAGGGTTTTGCTATATGATGAAGATATTGTGGAAGTCAAATTTACAATAAACACATGATTTCTCCTTGCAAAAGATTCACTACTTCAAGTTCTTCATTACATCTGAGTAAGACAGCATATCTTCCTGGCATGTATTTCATGGGGCATATTTCATTCAAATCAGATGATCATAACAAGATGATGATCCTGACTTCTCCACCCTTGCAGATATTTACACACAGTATGATCCCCAATCTCGGCTATATAAGCCTACGCAAAAAAAAGTGCCAGGAGGCTAGGTCTAACAATTTGCCTATTGTTAAAGGTAACATTTGAATCCAAAATACTGAAGTATCGAATACCAAAACACGAGTTTTCTTTTCTTTATCTAGCCTCGCTGGGTAAATATTACCAGGTTGCAACCTTGAGATAAAAAATAAAAAAATGAAAATGTGCGTATGATCAAACGTCCAAAATGTCTCGATCCTCCTTGAAGAAGACAATCAGAGAGAAATCTCATCGAAAATTGGGAAAAGCAGAGGTGATATGTGATGAAACAAATGAACATACATGACATGGCACTCAGAATGGCCGGAATAGGCCGGAATTCGACTTGCTCCCCCACAAAAATCCACGAAAGGTCGGGATTTGCGCCACTAACCTCCACAGGCGCTTTCCAGGGTGCTTTCATACATAGCTTACACATGAGCTTACATGCCCTTTTGGAAACCCTGTGGCTGTCTTTCAGAGAGTGGCTGACCAAGAAGCCGTGGTTAAACTTAGATCCTGTTGAATTGTGTGGCCATAAAAAGGCTGCTTTGCTAAAACGATTTTCTGCTTTTCCGCTCTCAACTTCAGAAGACTCCGAACTTTGATCAGCCCAACGACCTGTGAAACTGATTGACATCTTGTACTGTGAACTATGTCTGGGAAACGATCCATCCTCGTCTTGCATCTTTTGCTCGTCTTCCTGCTAGCCGGAGATCTTGGGTACCATATTTTTGTAGATGCTACTACTATAGATTGTAATTACGGTTGGACTGCTGCAGAACCCTCGCCTGAAGGGACAGTACCATACTGTTAGTCAGATATTTCGTCTCAGTCTCGGTTTTCACTCCTTTTTCTTTCAATCTTTAATTTCTAAGGACAATGTGAACTGACTCGACAGCTTAAACACCTTGCCGCGAAATCCACACTCCAAGCGTGTAGTACAACAGATGACAAAACTTACAGATGCAGCAAGTGTGGAAGGGATGATCATCGTTTACCCTGTGGGACAAAACTTTCTTATTTTCAATCAATGGGCAATGTAGACCGCTTACCTCTCTGTTTGATTTGATGGATCATCATACAGCCGCTAGGAACTGCGTTAGTGACGCAACCGGAAAAGTCATGAACAAGGGAGGATTATGGGCTTGCGACGTCGTACTCGACGTCTTTTCGGATTCTCGCAAAGACGGCAGACAACTCAGTTAGTCATTCTGCATGTTTCACCTTACAGATTTTGACTGCGTACATCTATTCGAGATATGTCGAGATGCCTTGAATGCTACGCGTTCAGTGTACTAATGTATCGAATCCTCCTTCATTCTCGAACCTTGAAAACAACAGTTTGCAATCAATCTGCAAGTACTGACACGTACTATTGCAAGTCTCGCAATTGGCCCCAACGTGAGTAAGAATTCTAGAGCTCCCTTTCGGTGAAGTATGATATTCACTCTTCACAAACTTACCCTTGCCATGATTGAAACTTGACGATGATTGTGATCACATCTAGAATGTCGGAAAGAGTCATGTTGACCCAGCACGGTATGTCGTGGATAATTCTAGAACTCTACGCAATTCTACAGAATCTGAAAACTTTCAGCGGAAAAGTACTCGGTGCCCAAGACTTCTTTGAAATAGATCCCTAACAAAAATAGAGGTGATGATATAATTAATAAATTGTGAAACTATGCAACATCAAGTTGTATATACAAAGTGAATATATACATGAATTGGTGCTACTAATTTTCTTGTCTTGACAACGTTCATCCTTTGAAAGATCGTAACATTTGTGATTTTCTCGACGCCATACAATATGAAGAATCCATGTCCGTTCCCGCGAATGTCCAGGTTGTAGAGAAAACTAATGTTGAACAGCTTGCTCAGAATGATCTTTGTGCCTCACATCGCCATGGATGGCGGTCGTTAAGTTTTGTCCTGCTCTGGGATGTCAGTACGTGTCCAATATTTTTCTATATGTATTCCTTTGGACACATTTTTGAATCATGGAAAACATGGTCACAATTGCAGGCTCAGGACTGCCCTGATTCTAGGAGAAGTGCTTCCCCGTCTATGGTTCTTGGTGGTCCTACCTCCCTCGGCCCCACCACTGGGGCGGAGCCCCCCCCAAGAAACCTAAAGTTTTCACAAATGAAGGCTTCAGGTTTGCATATGACAAAATGACAAATCTAGCAACACATAGACTAAATGTTATCTGTATCTTCATGATAAGTGAAATGAAAGTTGAGTTTACTATAATTGCTGAGAAGCCCGTCTCATAAGACCCTGTTGAGTAAGGAGTGAATTGAAAATGTCCACAAAGATGAGCATTTAAACAAAGAATAGTTCTATTCACGTTGTGTTTACGGGCTCAGTCCAATTTTCTGACAGGATGTTAGAATCCAGTCGTGGTTTGAGACCTGGTCAAAGTTGACATCCAGCACTCAAATGCTATGAATCACAGAGATATCACGTCATTCATGGCAAAATTCGGACAAAGTCACCCATTGACTATGGAAAAGCCAAGTTCCAAAGCAAGGCTTGAAAACTTGATGTCAACTATGTCCATGATGATATGGCGAAATCCCTGATCGGTCACTAATTCATCTTGCCATCTAACAAGAAGGTTATAAAGTACCACCAGCAGAGTATAAAGTGCAAAATGTTCAAATCAAGAGTCTACCAATTCAAAGTGCACACACAGTATCTTTAGCCGGTGTAGAGAAATTAACCAACAAGCTGAGAATGAAGGGCATTATCAAAGACTAGCTTCTGGCGCTCAGAAGCTACTCTTCAGTCCCAGTGTCGTGGATGAGGTCTTTGGCAGACGAGAATTATATCTACTCTGAAGCCGGCCATTTCTTGTGCCTTGCCGTCACAGAGTGGATAGGTCAAACAACAAGATGGCAGGAAAATTTCAAGGCACAAGATGATCACGGCGGCCATGGCCCTATATAGAGCTGACCGCTTCGTTTAAACTTTCTCTTTCTTTCTCTCCTCAGATCCATCACTTTGAACCAAATCCAAATTTCCTGTCACCCTCAACCTTCAAGGAATACCAGTCAAACTATTTGCTCTTCGCATCCCAAGATTAGAATCCTACATCTACACCCTCCAACTCACAACAACATGAACTCACACATGACATCATTTTCCGGCATCCCACAACGAGATGCGCAATCAAATTTGCCAGCACACCAAGGCACACCTATGCCGATGTCCTACTACGTTGAAGTCCTCCTCTCGCTCTCCAAGGTGCCAGTAAACCCTGCGACAGATTTCAAGTCCAATCTTACCGGCCGGCATCTAGACCCAATCTTACGTTCTAAAGACATTGCTTCATCGGACAAGTCATCGCATCAAACCACCAATGCTTCCACCGTCAGGAAACCAAGAACGAAGATCTCGTTGACTGAGTGTGCGAGGAAAATGGAGAGGTCATATCGGGGAATTGCTCATCACGCTACCGAAATATCAGACACGTTACGAGACCGGGATCCTAGCAGGGTACACAAACGAGAGCGTACCATCACAAGCACCAATACTCCGGAGCAGAAACTATCAAAGAAAAGGACAAGAGTTCAACCAGCTCGTGCTCCCCGTTCTGGCCACACATCCTCGCAATCTTATCCTCTTCCAACACTCGCTTCGGAGCCTTCACGACCAACATTGAAGCCTAAAATACGACTTTGTCTGGCAAACCAAATTAAGTATTGTAATTTAGTACTAAACGTAAGTGACTTCTCAAAGGGTATAAATTAATGATCTTTTATTCAATCGACTTATCTTACCTTGATGAATGTTTTAGGATCAGGATTTGAAAGAGAACGTTCCTTATGGTTCTTCGTTGGGTGTAGCTGAAGTGAGAAAAAGTAACTTCGTAGAAAAGAAATCTTTATAGTTTTAATGCGGTTGATCAACGATGAAAATGTTGTTCTTCATCGGTATGTCTATCATCAACTTTTCCTGTTCATGAACATGAATATTTTGAATTAACTTGAATGTGTATGATTTAGGACTTCATTAACAAACGATCACTTGCAGTCAATGAAAAGAACCAACTTCAACTAATCAAAATGAACCAACAAACTAAACAAAAAACAGTCAACCAAGTTTTTCTAATGAACAAAAACACACACTTCAAACAAACTTCCAATATGACTTATAACTTCTTATCACCACCAAAATAAGAAATCCAATTCAAAATCTGTTTCCTTTTTACTCTTTTCATCCCTATCGTCGATCCTCCAACTAAATCTTCTTTCCAATTTCTAATTAGTTTAAGTTGTCGTCCAATCCTTACTAGCAAAGAGGTTGTACTCGTATTTCAGTTGATCTACCTGATTTCTGATAATGAATATCTTGAACACAGACCCGTTGTACAGTTCCTAGTGCTCCATAGTCCATGAATTATGATCCAACGGAAAACATCGCCGCTTACTGCAAGGACATAGTCTGCCAAAGCACTGGAACAAGAGCTCAATATGCTTTTTTCGCCATGGTGGTCATCCATATTGAGAATAGGCTGTCAAGGAATTCAAAGCAAACTGAATATTAATAAAAAATTGCTGTCATTCACAAGAAGAGAAGTGAGCTGGCTTACCTTGAGGGTATAGGGGTCTAGTCTTTTGGACTCGGTATCAATAATAATATTGACCATATAATAAGGAACTGCTGTAGCAAAAAGTGCCCAACATTTTGAAAACTTTGGTCTCACACTCCAGTCTCTTCAAAATTGATTTTCAATTCTTTGGAAATATAAAAAACATGCCAGGAGTGTGCCTCCCTCAGGGTGAGATTTCAGGGACTTCCTCATTGTGACTTTTGAAAAATGCAAAAAACTCAAGTAAGATGTTCATTTGACTAAAGTTGATTTTGAGCATTTCTCTAACTTGCAAGTTGAACATTCCTGATACTAAAAAGCCTTTAAGTTGAACCCAAGAGAAATCATATATATTCTTCTTATGAAACCTCTGTATCTGCATTCAAACAAATTCAAATCATTTCAACTTTTTCTCACAAATCATGATTACCCAAAGGATTAAACCATTCATCTTACTCTGACATAAGCTATGAGTTTGACTGTCTTCTCATGTAACAAACCTTTTTGAACTCTTTATGTATGAAAGTGTCCAAGGATATATCTTGCACACACTGTTTGTGCATTCTGGATTTATTTTTGTATTCTGTTGTTCTCCAAAGTCACTACATTTCTTGCCTCTACATATGGTAATTGGTCACTGTCCAAGAGTTTATTGATGCTTATAAGACTCTGAAGTAGCTTCTCTTTAATTGAAATAATTATTTGCCTCAATGTGACTTTCTTGTGAGGTATGCGTTCCTTATGACACATTGTGATGACTATTTAGGTACATCACAATATCTCACCTCCTTTTGGTATTGATTTTCTAAATTCTTTTGAAGATGAAAACAGCCTTTTGGGAGAAGAAGTAAAACCAATTGAATTTGGATTGCAGACTTATGGTCAGAAAGCTTTGATCAAAGCATCAACATATGCGCAGCTCATCTCTCGCGAGCCTGTAGCAATGCAGAAAATGGAAGTTTGAGCCTGCAAATTTCAAGTCCAGAGTTGGATCCTGTTGAGATTGTGCTGTGTATCTCTACAAGCAAGGGGGGGCTTTTGGAAAATCTTTTTTCTATTGAAATCAACTGTAAGGTTTTTATAATACCGGCAAGGAGAATTTTACACTCAATGTTTTACACTCATTATTGAGTGTAAAATCCATGGAGTGTAAAATTACACATACAGGGGGGTGAAGTAAAATTTTACACTCAATAAGATTTTTTTAGGAGTGTAAATAATGGAATGTAAATGATTGAGTGTAAAAATCCACGTGACCGGGGCCTAAGTAGAATTTTACACCCGATTTTTTTACACTGAAGATTCAGTGTAAAAGGGATCAGTGCAAATATCCTCCTTAGGTCCCCAATCTTGAATTTTACACTTGAAAAGATTTACACTCAAAGTTGGATGTTTTCTTTCTGAGTGTGAATCCTCAAAATGACCCCATCAAGATTCAAATTTGCACTCCAAGGAAACCCCCTCCAATTGGCAACATTGCCTCAAAGTTTCCAATTGGAAAACCCTGCGCCCACTCCCAAGGTATAGCCTCCAGCTCAATCACCTCCACCACTATCGGACCTCCACCTTGAAAAGTTGATATCACCTGCCCAGATGACCTCACTCACCTAATACCACACTCAAAACTTTCAAAGGATCAATCCTTTTCCATTACAACTGACTACATCAGATTTTCAAAGCCATCATCCAACCAACCCATCTCAAAGCAACTCCATCAGGATCTTTGAAGTCATCATCCAATTGAAGGATCTTGATCTGACTGTATCACAAAACGCAGGATGAAAACTATCATCCTGTGTCAGCAACCCTCTGGTGTGTATGTCTACCCCCAACAAATGCCACCTCAAGGCTTTGGCCGCACTCCTTTCTTGTATTATCCAGCCAATTGGTCTCAGTGTTCACAAATCAAAGACTTCAAACTCATCGAAGAGATCTCTGTCCTCATTTCCCTCTTCTACAAATTGTTTAATCGTTACCAACTCTATCCCTATCAATTGCACCGTATATTGACCTTTACTCACATTAGTATCATGTCAGAAACCAATTCCAAGACTTCTGTAGACCTCCTTGGGACCCCTAAACCTGATCCTATGAGGCAGAACTCAACTCAGACTGCCTTGACATCACCAATGGATCCCGTTTGCAGTGACTATGCCGTCTCCTCCTCCTGATTCTAACCCTGAGAAACAGAAGAAGAAGCGCAATCAACCAAAGAAGACCGGCAAGAAATTCAAAATCCCTGTACTGGCTACTGCCAAACTCAAGAATTACATCAACCATGGGTCCAAATGTGATGGTCAAGGGTATCCAATGATCCACCCCAACAGAAAAACTGTCTATGTTCACAAGCCAGGATGGAGCAATCACATCACAAATTTCAGCCACATTGCCTTTCCTCACACTCAAAGGATCAGCGGTGCAAAGCATGGGCCTTGGAAGACCACTTGGTATACCTGCCTTGGGGTACTTCACTGTGACAACAACTTTTGCAACTACTTGGGCCTGCCACCCACTGGTGACGGGAAATCCGCCCAGCACATTGAAGAGTAAGGTGTTTTTTTTATTCCCACCGGTTCTCCTTATTAAGTTTGCTCATAGGCTATATATGTTCTACCTTACCTTGTTTGGTCATCCGGAATGTCCTGCTGTGGAATGCCCTGGCAAACACATCCGGACGCAATGCACTCAAACGCTGTAGAACTTATAACCCAACAAGGGTTATACAGAGCTGGAAGAGGATAATCTACTAATATAATGACTAGTAGAAGTTGTCTAAGGACTTCTCTTCTAAAACAACACAATCAGAAAGAGCTCTGTTGTATTGAGTACTGATAAGGCACCAGAGAAATGTATCTTCACACGTATTTTAACTTCAAAGCACACTTTGTATTACTATCAACACTGCTATAGTGTTATTCCCAATTGATAACTAAAGAAAATAAGCAATATCTGATTGATATTATTCCCAATAAGTCTTTATGACTATAATACTAAAGTAAATTTCTCTTTATAGCTGTAATAAAGGGCGTATTTAAGTGACCAGGTACTATTAAAATAAGTTTATGATGATAAACAAAATAATAATGGCGTAAATGATAAAGAAAAAAGGGGAACAACAGTCCCAAAACCCTCTCAAAGTATATATAACAATGTACTAGAACTTTTACAATGGTCAACAGCCTCAAAACCAATCAAATCCGCCCAAAATTCCCTAAAAAACCCTATGATGACGCAATGTAATGATTTTGTTACTAATAAATGATGTAATTTTCACAGCTAAAAGTGATCAATGACGCAATAATATGATGTACAGCACTTCTTATGATGAATACAGGTGATTTTTTCCTTGTAAACTAGCTGAAAACCAATTTTTGAGATTACAAATTTTTTCAGATGTGCTCCAATTTTTGATTACTAAAGTGCATCTTGTAGCCCACGTGTTACTGATCATTTCTGACACCTACATGACCTACTTCTGATGAGTGATGAGTAAGATATTGAGTTGTGAAGTTAAGGTTTTTGGTGTTACATGTGACTTGTGACTGTAAATTCGAGATTCACACCAATTCTTTATTTGCCTTATAACTTTTTACACAAACCTCCGTTACTAATGATTTAAAGTTTGTACATTATGTAATCCACTCTTGTGCGTTGAATGAGCCATCTACCAACCTATTCTGACGTCATTTGACATATGTAATTAGCTGAAAACCTCCATTTTCCACGAATTTCACCCATTTTCTTCACTTTTCACAGCTGCTACTCTCTTTTTCTTGCTCATGTAATATGACATCATCATCTATAACCTTAAAAATCCCGGAAAATCCTCTTGGCAACCTTAAATTCCATCACTACCACTATTACACAACCAAACTACACGTGTACCTCTTGTTTACCAACTTCGACAAAGTACCTTTTCCCTAATAACTTTTGTTTCTACTTATCAACCTTGAAGATTAAAATTGTCATAGTATAATATAACGTTGTTCTTTCATATTCTAACCTCATAATACCCATAACTTTCTTTTTACTAACCTAAAAACCATTTTCCAACCTATGTACCTATATTTTCGAATTTTTCTTATGTTTTTCTTTCTTTCTTTTTGTAATAAGTTTGTAAGTAAACTATAATGATCTTATGTATAATGTGAAATAAAAATGATGTAATGTTGACCTAATGACCAATACATAAGCCTACAAGAGCTTCAATTGATCAAAACCTCCATTTCGAATTTTCTTTCCTGCTGAAACCTGCTAATAAACTGGTAAACTGGTAATTGTGAATTTTTTAATTGATCCCATAAATTGATCACCACAACGCACTGTTGAGTTGATCTTGAGAAGGCTACTGGCTGGGCCGTCCTTTGCCACTCTGCAACTCACAACCACATATGGCCGACCTCCAAGAAAGCAGATCCTCTAGTGATGCTGGACCTCACCAAAGAGTTGGTGAAGAACCCAAAGGCCG